CGCCGTAACGTTGCCTCCATCTTCAGGTAACCTCGCGTATCTTAACTCCACTAGCACCTTATTGACTGCTGGTGGTAGTAGTGATGATTGTGGTGATGGTAGTAGTTGTGGTGATGGTAGTAGTTGTGGTGATGGTAGTAGTTGTGGTGATGGTAGTAGTTGTGGTGATGGTAGTAGTTGTGGTGATGGTGGTGGGAAGAGTCACACCAGGCACCTACAGTATTTACGCATCTCAGTCCAGTTTTTACCTGATAATCATTCTCTCACGGCCACCAGGTGAGAGGGGGAGAGGGAGGAGGGGGGCGGTAAGTGAGAGAGGGGGGGGAGAGCACATGTGAGGGGAGGGGGAGGAGGGGCAGTAAGTGAGGGGGAGGGAGGGGGGCACATGTGAGTTACCAGGCAGTGTAAAACACATAGCTGTACACCACACACGTCATACATTCTTGTGTACACCAACCTGGCCTTGAGTGTACAGTTCACACATGTGTACACCGCAGTATACATGTACCACTAGCACATAATATACCACACACACACTCATATGTGTGACAGGTACAGGTGTGTGAGGTACAGGTGTGAGGTACAGGTGTGTGTGGTACAGGTGTGTGAGGTACAGGTGTGTGTGGTACAGGTGTGTGTGGTACAGGTGTGTGTGGTACAGGTGTGTGAGGTACAGGTGTGAGGTACAGGTGTGTGTGGTACAGGTGTGTGAGGTACAGGTGTGTGTGGTACAGGTGTGTGTGGTACAGGTGTGTGTGGTACAGGTGTGTGTGGTACAGGTGTGTGTGGCAGGAGGCTCAGGGTCAGTACCACCTCCCATTACCTGTCTTTACCTCAACACTATGCAGATGTAGGTCACCTGCCCCCTGCCCACTAACCGCCCCCCTGCTCTACCCTGCCCCCTGCCCACTAACCCCCCTGCTCTACCCTGCCCCCTGTCAGTGTGTGTCAGGTGAAGAGGATATAGTACTAATGGTATTTTATCACACACACACACACACACACACACACACACACACACACACACACACATACTGCAAGTGCCAAGGACAGTCTGGCGCTCTCCTCCCCACGGCTGGTCACAATGTTCACCCGTTTTTCACGCCCATCACGTGGTCCTGGGAGTCCTCATTTCTCACCTGGTGTAGCTGGGAGTCCTCACTTCTCACCTGGTGTGGCTGGGAGGGTGGTAGACCTCTGTGAACCGGTTGTGAAGTCCGTATTGACCGTGACTACTAACTGACGGGCACTGACTTGTCACTGGCCACTGACTTGTCACTAACGGGCACTGACTTGTCACTAACGGGCACTGACTTGTCATTGGTCCACTGACTTGTCAATGGCCAACACTTTTCTGCCATTTTGTGAGTGCTGAAATTATCAGTACGTAGACAGTGCAGGTATACATTGAGTCATTCATTTTTGCATTCATCGTTTCATTGATTCACTCATAACAGCAGTAGGGTGCAGCAGGGCAGGTCGGGTCAGCCAGTTTTTGTGAGGGTGTCCTTGAGTCCCTGAACTACTGGTGTGTCCCAGCTGAGTGAGGGAAGCAAAAACTGTCCCTCTGCCAGTCTGGGAGTATCTGCGCCAGCCTGGGAACAACCTCGCCAGGCGCTCTCATCCCTCACCACCACTCACAGCCGAGAACCTGACTGACGGAGGTGATCGATGAGTTTCACATTGAACACTTTGACGCCTCTTGTCTCGGTAGGGTTATCACTATACTTCGTCCACTGTGTCATATTGTCTCACACAGTATCCTCACCTAACTTAACACACGCCTAACCTAACCTAACTTAACCTAACCTAACCTAACCTAACACACGCCTAACCTAACCTAACTTAACCTAACACAGTTCATACATATAAGATTCGTCACAAACATTCCCCCCAGAGTATTAGCAGGTGTATATACAGGTGTGTGGCCCCCAGAGTAAGTACAGGTGTGTGTGGCCCCCAGAGTAGGTACAGGTGTGTGTGGTCCCAAGAGTAGGTACAGGTGTATGTGGCCCCAAGAGTAGGTACAGGTGTGTGTTACCCCCAGAATAGGTACAGGTGTGTGTATGTATGTCATTCCAGACTTTCCCGTGGCCTTCCTGGAGAACCAACCTTGTGACGTCACCCTGGAGGCCACACACACGAGGTACTTAACACTAAAATATTTCTAAGCTGGGATCGAACTCTTTTCCATGAAGTGTGAGGCGAGTATGTTGCCCCTGGACCATCCTCGCTGATAAATGATCTGGCTCAACTAAAGTGGTAAAGTCACCTAGACAGACAGACAGACAGACAGAAACACTACTATATCCCTCAGCACTGTCATTGGTAGGGATAATTAAAACAACACCTGTCACTCACCTGTTTTAGAGTCACAGGTAAGGTCGCTTTTGGGTGAACATTCAACAAAACTCACCATAATTTGTTAGGAAGAAGCCTGTGTGTGTGTGTGTGTGTGTGTGTGTGTGTGTGTGTGTGTGTGTGTGTGAATGTGTGAGTGTGTGTGTGTGTGTGTGTGTGTGTGTGTGTGTGTGTGTGTGCTGACGTACTTGACCACTCTGCACATCTTCCGGGTTAGCTGATATAACGATCCTTCACAGCCCACAGCCCCAGCCCCCAGCCCCCAGCCCTCAGACCGTGAGAGGAACCTTCACTCAGAGACTACCACACCCTGCTACTCACCCATACAGGTATACAATTTGCTACAGGTGAGTTTTAATTAAGAGGACCCTCAGTGTTACAGGTAGAGTACAGTACACACCTTTGTTCACCGAGTGTTGTCATGACCCCTGGGTGACCGCCGCTCACACACATATACTGTCCATTCTTCACACCTCTCCTCTCCCCTCCTCTTCCTTCTCCCCTTCTCTCCCCCCTCCCTCCCTCTTCCTCCACCCTCAGGGCAGATGTAACAGTGAGGGGAAGGTCAAGAGTCACTCGGCACCATCTTGGGTCAGTTTTTAATACCTGACCAAGTCGAGTTTTTACCTCCTGCTAACACAGTCCCTCTTCCTCCTCCTCCTCCCCTTCTCTTCCTCCTCCTCCTCCCCTTCTCTTCCTCCCTCCTCCTCCCCTCTCCCTCCCTCCCTCCTCCTCCCTTCTCTTCTCCACCTCTCCCTCCTCCTCCTCCTCCTCCCTTCTTCTTCCTCCTCCTCCCTCCCTTTCTTTCTTTCCTCCACCTCCTCCCTTCTCTTCCCTCCACCTAGAGTTTAGATTCTCCTCATGCAGGCACGTGTTAGTCATGGAGGCTAGCTTGCTGTGCACCTCAGCCTTAGGGATGATGGTGAGGAGAGTATTGTCAGTCTCAGGTGGGGCTCCATCACGTCAGGCCTTAGCTGTCACCACGGACACCATCAGGAGGGAGGTAGCAGGAGTAGGAGGGAAGTGAAGGAAGTAGGAGGAGGGAGGTGGCAGGAGTAGGAGGGAGGTGGCAGGAGTAGGAGGGAAGTAGGAGGGAGGTAGCCTTGTGACAGTGACCTAGCCACACACAGGAATGTAAAAATATATAATATTATGTTTTTGGCTCAATACTTCACTATCCTGTCGCGCCTCCTGCTGTCGGTCTGTCTGTGAACATAAATTATCTGTGAGCGAGACGCGTCTTCCTGCATTCTATCCTCCCTATTTCGCTGGGAAGACAAGAGAACAAATGCCAGCATCCTTGCTGACACCAACTGTAGGAGCATCGAGGCTGCCATTATCCATGAACAACTACGTTTGACTGTCCATGTTACGTGCATGGACGACAGTAGACTGCCAAAGCAGCTACTTTACATTCACCTAACGAATAGTAAACGTAACGCTGGCGGGCAACTGAAAAGGTATAAGGATAGTCTTAAGACAAACCTGAAAAAGTGCCAAATGGACCCCCTCACCTGGGAGACGATCACTCCACACCGTAACGCTTGGAGGAGCACCACACGAGAAGGTGTCAATACTTTCGAGTTAGCCCGACTGCAAACCGAGGCAGACAAGCGCCAACGCCGGAAAGACGCTGTCGCCGCACCTCCCGCACTAGCTGTAGCCCTCCACATGTGCAACATCTATGGACGACCCTGCCGGTCCCATATCGGCCTCTCTATTCACCTCAAAGTTCATCAACGAAGGTGACATCCTTAATAACTCTTATTATTTTATCATAGCTGGATGATCGTCATACTCGATTGCGAGTGACAGCAAAGTAGTAGTAGTAGTGTGTGTGTGTGCGCGCGCGTTCTTTTGACTGGTTGTATTATTTGTTAATGTTAACTGTGTGTTATGTAGGACTGTGAGTCATTTCTGCCACAAACATTTTAAGTTGAGTAATGTGAAATGTTTGCGGTGAGGGAGGTGACAGGAGGAGGAAAAATAGTGAGGGGTGTGTATGTGTGATCCAACCATTGACAGGCTGTGGGGAAGACAGGAGGTGCGGGAAGGAGAGAAGGTGACCTCGATGCCTGCAGGCGGCTGTGGTGTACATGTTGTTGATGGTGATGTTGGTGGTGATGATGGTGGTGATGGTGGTAGGAAGTAGTGTTGCCGGAAGACTGTTTGGCTGATACAGTACAAGGAGTATTCCATATGATACTGATGTGGAAGTTATCCACATTTTACCACAACTCGACGAACATTGAGAATTCTGAAGTGTTTTAACTCAAGCTGGATCATCAAGTTAGTACCTGAAGCAATAAACAAATGAACATCAAGTTAGTACCTGAAGCAATAAACAAATGAACATCAAGTTAGTACCTGAAGCAATAAACAAATGAACATCAAGTTAGTACCTGAAGCAATAAACAAATGATCATCAAGTTAGTACCTGAAGCAATAAACAAATGAACATCAGGTTACTGTTGATGGCGGCGCGGTGGGTGATGCAACTCTCCCGCCGACCTCCAAGAATTCCACCTCACTTGTCCCTCACACTCCCTCACACAGCAGGAGTCCCTGGTGTAATTGGCCACAGGCGAGGCAACAATGAGAGCTGCGGCCACTCATTTACTCCACAATAGACCGCGAGTGTGGTAACCTCGAGCGGAGGTCGGGAAGGGCGTGGTCCACCTCACGAATATAAGGAGGACGCCACGCCTCCTCCAGTCAGTCTACCCCAGGCATCTCAACCGCACGCGTCCGTCATGAAGGATCTGGTAAACCTTGCTCCTCGCCTTCCTCAGGATACTGTGGGAGTGTAGTGCCGCAGTGTGGGGGAGAACGTGAAGTGATACTGTGTGGGGGTAGGCGTGAGATACACTGTGTGGAGTGTACATGTAGACACTGTGTGGGAGTGTACATGTAGACACTGTGTGGGAGTGTACATGTAGACACTGTGTGGAGTGTACATGTAGACACTGTGTGGGAGTGTACATGTAGACACTGTGTGGGAGTGTACATGTAGACACAGTGTGGGAGTGTACATGTAGACACTGTGGGAGTGTACATGTAGACACTGTGTGGGAGTGTACATGTAGACACTGTGGGAGCGTACATGTAGACACTGTGTGGGAGTGTACATGTAGACACTGTGTGGGAGTGTACATGTCGACACAGTGTGGGAGTGTACATGTAGACACAGTGTGGGAGTGTACATGTAGACATATGTGACAGGGGACAGACAGTGTGGGAAGTGTACATGTGTAGACACTGTGTGGGAGGTACATGTGAGACACAGTGTGGGAGTGTACATGTAGACACAGTGTGGGGAGTGTACATGTAGACATGAGTGTACATGTAGACACAGTGTGGGAGTGTACATAGGTACACGTGTGGAGACACATGAAGTGTACATGTAGACACTGTGTGAAGTACATGTAGACACAGTGTGGAGTGCAGACACAGTGTACATGTAGACACAGTGTGGGATGTAGACACAGTGTGGCGTACATGTAGACACTGTGTGGAGTACATACAGACACTGTGGGAGGTACATATAGACACTGTGGGAGGTACAGTGTACACAGGGAGCATGCACACTGTGTGGGAGGTACATGTAGACACTGTGGGAGTGTACATGTAGACACTGTGTGGGAGTGCACATGTGTGGGAGGTACACTGTGTGGGAGTGTGCTATGTAGACACAGTGTGTGGGGTATGTAGACACTGTGTGTAAGTACATGTAGACACAGTGTGGGAGTGGCATGTAGACACTGTAGATGTAGACAGGTGTGTGGGAGTGTACATGTAGACACTGTGTGGGGGTACATGCAGACACAGTGTGGGGAGTGTACATGTAGACACAGTGTGGAGTGTACATGTGAGACACTGTGTGGGAGTGCCACATCCCCTAACTAGTGCCACACCTAACTAGTGTCACAGTCCCCCTAACTAGTGCCACATCCTACCCCAACTAGTGTCACATCCCTCAACTAGTGCCACATCCCTAACCAGTGTCACATCCTCCTAACTAGTGTCACATCCCCAACTAGTGCCACATCCTCCCAACCCAACCAGTGTCACATCCCCAACCAGTGCCACATCCTGCCAACCAGTGTCACATCCCCCAACTAGTGCCACATCCTGCTAACTAGTGTCACATCCCCCAACTAGTGCCACATCCTCCCATCCTGCTAACTAACCAGTCCACAACTCCACATCCCCCAACTAGTGTCAACTAGTGTCACATCCCTAACTAGTGCCATCATCCCAACCTAACATAAGTGCCACATCTCCCAACTTAGTGCCACACCTAACAGTGTCACATCCCCCAACTAAGTGTCACATCCCCCTAACTAGTGCCACATCCTGCTAACTAGTGTCACATCCCCCTAACTAGTGTCACATCCCCCTAACTAGTGCCACATCCTCCTAACTTAGTGCCACACCTAACTAGTGTCACATCCCCCTAACTAGTGTCACATCCTCCCAACTAGTGCCACATCCTCCTAATTCGTGTCATAGACACCTAACAGAACAGTACTGTACTGTACTGTATTGTACTGCACTGTACCGTACTGTATTGTACTGTACTGTACTGTACTGTAATTTTGTTGGTCGTGTCATGACCTGTGTTTAAAGTCAGGAAGATGATGTGTAATGAGACGGCCGTTGTGTTGACAGGTGCTGGTGCTGCTGTTGGTGTGGTGTGCGTGCTGGTGTCAGCCCACCACCGTGGTCAGCTTCAGCCCAGTGGGATATTCCCCGGGTGTTGCCCCAGGGTTTGCCTACGCCTTCCGTGCCCCAGCTCCTCTCTACTCTCCTGCCGCCACCCCTACGGGCCGCTCACTGTTGTCGAGAGCTTTCTCCAACTCCATAGGTGCCCCTGCCCCAGTGCCCACAATAATCAAGACGCAGTACCACAGTCAGGACGAGCTGGGCCAGTACGCCTTCGGTTATGTGGGAGATGCGTCCACCGCCCACGAGGTGCGCACCATGGACGGCGCTGTGAGGGGCTCCTACACCTACGTGGACAGTGACGGGGAGCTGCAGACAGCTAACTACGTGGCGGACCGTAATGGTTTCCGTGTGGAGGCTTCCAACCTGCCCCAGGTACCCGTTGCTCCCACTGTTGCTGTGGTCCCCCTCCCGGAGCCCGTTAAGCACACTCCCGAGGTAGAGGCAGCCACTGCCGCCCACTTGCGGGCTTTTGCCGAGGTCAAGGCCGCCCGCGCTAAGCGTGCCATCCCTTCCACCAGTTACCTCCCCCCTCCTCCTCCTCCCGTCCACCTGTCCTCCGGTGAGCCCGTCGAGGAGGAGCCCCGCCATGTTCCTGCCCTCACCAACGTGCTGGTCCCTCCAACCTACACCGTCAAGGCCTCGGGTCCTCCTGTGCCAGTGGCCATATCTACCCCTGCAGTCCACCACCCACACCCTCTCCCCACACCATCCGCCCCAGTCTTCATCCCGCCCCCTTCCCTGCCAGCTCCCAGCCACATCGCCAACACTCACGCCGTTTTCATAAAGGCTGACCCACAAGATCTGCACCATGTTGCCCGGGTGCCTCTCCCTACATCACTGGCAGCAGCCCTCGCCTCTCCCGGCCCCGTGGTGGCTCCTCAAGTACTGACTCAGTTCCACTCTCAGAACGAGCTGGGAGGGTTCGAGTACGGGTACGGGGGCGGCCCCTCCAGTAAACACGAGATTCACACCCCAGACGGCGTCACCCGGGGCTCCTACTCCTACATCGACGCCAACGGGGCGCTGCAGACGGTGAGCTACGTGGCCGACGATGTTTACGGCTTCAGGGTGTTGGCCTCCAACCTACCCGAGGCTCCCGCTGACCCCTATCAATAGTGGCTGGTGCCCCGAGGGTGTGGCTGACCACACAGTCGCCCTCTGTAATGATTGAATTGTACGGGTGTCTCATGCTCTTCCGGGCGACGCCCTGGCCTGTCTTCTGAGAGCCCCATGAGAGCCCTTACAGCTGCCCCAGGAGAGCCCTTACAGCTGCCCCATGAGAGCCCTTACAGCTGCCCCATGAGAGCCCTTACAGCTGTCAGAGGACGAGAGAGACAGGCCGCCATGGTTCCTGGATGTAGTCATTTCTTAACTTTATTTATTGTAGTGTTAGTGGGTGATCCTCTGACCACCACACCTGAAGACGGAGACATAAACACGTCTTGATGGACGGTAAAGGTGTAACAGTGTTTGGTGACGATTATCTTAATCTCACAATACAAGACAGGTTCAGCCTCAGCGTGTGGCCAGAGTGTTTGAAGTTCACACACACACGTCAGCATCTTGCGTCACCTCTTCCCACTGAGGACTTTTGTAAAAAAAATAAATAAATATACAAATTATATTTTTCACAATTTTATTTTGAATAAATTTACACGAAAAGTGAATTTGTTGTTATTGTCTTTATTGTTGCTAAGTGTGAATGTTGGTGCGTCGTGTGGAACTTTATATGAGAGAGGTTGATGGGCTGGGGAACCACTTCAGGCGTGGTGACTCAAGGTGTTGGGTCTGACTCACCGCCTCCACCATTGTCACCATCACCACACCAGTCGGTCTTGACGGGACACTCTCTTTATACAACACAACACGTCACCACTGTGGGCGTCCGGTGTCTCACTCACTGTTCTGGCCTGACTAGTTCCCCCTTATACCCCGGAACCTTATTTCCTGTGTGTGTTACTCAGAGCTCTCTCCCTCTCTCTCTCTCTCTCCACCAAAACTCAAGCCGCGCCTCCCATGGTCTCCTCTCCCACCAGCAGCCTCATGCATCACAGGAGGGCTCTGGAGGAGGAGGAGGAGGTACTGTGATCCTGTAGATTTTGACGGGGAGGTGCGTCTCGTTGTAGAGGAAGAGAGCGGTGTCTGTGTGTAGGGTGGCCTGGTAGACGAGGGTGTAGGTCAGCCCCTGTCGACTCACCTCCTCCAGAAACACACTCAATGTCTCCTGATTACGACGTGTGCAAGCTATGAATGCCTCACGCTCTCTCCTTCCTTGTCTTTCTTCCTCTTCACTTCCTTTACCCCGATAATCCAAACTTCCTTCATCCTTCTTGTTAACCTCGTCTGATTTCCCCTGCAGTCGACCAGTTCCTCGTGTTGACTTGCTGTTCGCCAGTACGCCTTGCTTTTCCTGGTTACCTTCGAATTGTCGTGAGCCGCTGCCGTCTAAGATTGACCTGAGGATAACACAGGCATTTAAATACAGGGTAACTAGCCCAGGTGTACAGTCAGGGAAAAGAAGTATTACCTGTCACACCTTTCTCTCTCTCCCATCCATGAACCCTGAACCTGTGAATCCGAGACACCACACACCATCACCACACATTGTAAGGCCTATATATGATAGATACACTGTGGTTATATTATTGGTGGTTATATTATTGGAGACAAATGAAACATTATGTAGGGGGAAGATGATAGACGCTGTTAAATAGAGGACGAGGAGATGATGATGTGAGATCTTGGAATCTTCATCACACATTTGCGCAAAATATGACAATAGTAAGAATAATATTAGTTAAAAGGTTATAGACTCCAGCACCACACATAAACACATTGACGTGATGCATGATTTGTACCGCTGGTGATAAACTTGTGTTACCAATATTGTAAAAATAAACCCTAGGTGACGTTACCTTTCAACATAACGCATTCTCGACTTCATTTGTGACGTCTCCTTAACATATCACGCATTCTCGACTTCATTTATGACGTCTCCTTAACATATCACGCATTCTCGACTCATTTGTGACGTCTCCTTAACATATCACGCATTCTCGACTCATTTGTGACGTCTCCTTAACATATCACGCATTCTCGATTCATTTGTGACGTCTCCTTAACATATCACGCATTCTCGACTCATTTGTGACGTCTCCTTAACATATCACGCATTCTCGACTGTTTGGCGTCGCCGCTTCATATAAATTATGAGCCATTTATGACGTGTCATAACATATCCACGCATTCTCGACTCATTTTGAGCGTCTCCTTAACATATCATTCTCGACTCATTTTGTGACGTTACCTTTCAACATAACGCATTCTCGACTTCATTTGTGACGTCTCCTTAACATATCACGCATTCTCGACTCATTTGTGACGTCTCCTTAACATATCACGCATTCTCGACTCATTTGTGACGTCTCCTTAACATATCACGCATTCTCGACTCATTTGTGACGTCTCCTTAACATATCACGCATTCTCGATTCATTTATGACGTCACCTCTTTACATGTCAAAGTTCAAATCAATAACAAAAGACATTCGCTCTATGTATGAAGAGAATTAATTACACGACTTATTATTGGCTGAGTTGCTCATTGCTCGCTGGAGATCGCAAGTACCTGGGGTTGGAGTACCTGCCTGGTGGGGGGGATGAAAGAGGGGGTGAAGTGGGGGGGAGGGGTCGCATTGCCCAACAAAATCTTGCTTCATTCAGGAGTGAGTTTGATGCTGGTTTGTAGGGGAAGGTAAACAACTTATTCTCACTCACTGACTCTGCTGATCTGTGAGTCAGTTTAGAGGACTGTCACATAAGTTAGATTAGCTTTGATTAGGTTAGGTTTTGTTTGGTCAGGTTAGGTTAGTTTAGGTCAGGTCAGGTTAGGTTAGGTTTTGTTTGGTCAGGTTAGGTTAGTTTAGGTCAGGTCAGGTTAGGTTAGATTAGCTCATCTCTGGCCACACTAAGTTACCTGATCAAGGTGACGAGGGCAGGTATGAGGTGCCTGGCATAGACCACATCAGAAGCCACCACCACGTCTACAGGAGGAAGGGGCGGGGGGTGGCGCCAGTCAACCTGCATCACACTCACCTCAGTCGATCCACCTCCTCCCTCCACAGCCTGCCGACGACAACAAGGTCTGCCTCACCTCATCTCACCAAGACACTTACACCAAATAATAAAACTACAAATATTTATCCTCAAACTCTAGTATTAATGAACATATCATATTAACTCCTGTAAACGATCAAAAAATGTTAAAATAGACTTTGATTTCGCTTATAAATTCAACTAGTGGAGTATGACTGGAGGATATAACTGGCAGTGGTTTAGTAAGTTACAGGAGGTATATTAACTTACAACTGGAGTAGTAGTAGCACCACCAGGAGGCCAGCTAACTACCTCCCCGGCCTCCACCTCCCCCTTCACCAGTTCCTCGCTCACCTCACGCTGAAACACCTCCAGGTCTTGTCTCTGTGGAGGAGCATGACACTGTTAGGATAGGTTAGGTCAGGTCAGGTGAGGCAGACGGCCATAAGTGCACCAGCCTAATAATCAATTACTCACCTGTCCACAGAGATCAATATTATTCAGGTAATAATTAATGAATAAGATGACATATTATTCACGAGTTGTTTACATAATTTAATTTTTCATTTTGCACAATTAAGAGACAGTTGGCTGTATACCTGTGTGAAGTATACCTGTGTGAAGTATACCTGTGTGAGGTATACCTGTGTGAAGTATACCTGTGTGAGGTATACCTGTGTGAAGTATACCTGTGTGAGGTATACCTGTGTGAAGTATACCTGTGTGAAGTATACCTGTGTGAAGTATACCTGTGTGAGGTATACCTGTGTGAGGTATACCTGTGTGAGGTATACCTGTGTGAAATATACCTGTGTGAGGTATACCTGTGTGAGGTATACCTGTGTGAGGTATACCTGTGTGAAGTATACCTGTGTGAGGTATGCCTGTGTGAGGTATACCTGTGTGAAGTATACCTGTGTGAGGTATACCTGTGTGAAGTATACCTGTGTGAAGTATACCTGTGTGAGGTATACCTGTGTGAAGTATACCTGTGTGAGGTATACCTGTGTGGAAATTATACCTGTGTGAGGTGTATACCCACCATTCTGATACCTGTGAAGTATACCTGTGTGAAGTACTCTCTGCTGTGAGGTATACCTGTGTGAGATATACCTGTGGTATACATGTGTGAGTATACCTGTGTGGGGTATACCTGTGTGAAATATGCCTGTGTGGGGTATGCACTGTGTGAGGTATACCTGTGTGAAGTATACCTGTGTGAGGTATACCTGTGTGAGGTATACCTGTGTGAGGTATACCTGTGTGAGGTATACCTGTGTGAAGTATACCTGTGTGAGGTATACCTGTGTGAAGTATACCTGTGTGAGGTATACCTGTGTGAAGTATACCTGTGTGAAGTATACCTGTGTGAAGTATACCTGTGTGAGGTATACCTGTGTGAAGTATACCTGTGTGAAATATACCTGTGTGAAGTATACCTGTGTGAGGTATACCTGTGTGAAGTATACCTGTGTGAAATATACCTGTGTGAAGTACACCTGTGTGAGGTATACCTGTGTGAAGTACAGTTTACCTTGGGTGGTGGTGAGGCCAGGTTGAGCGTCAGGTTATGGTGCAGGAGAGTAAGAACGTGGTGGTGACAGTCGGTGAGGAGGTAGGTGGTGGGTGGTGGGCGACCTTCTGCGGTGCTGGTGAGGATGACGGAGGCGGTGAAGCCCACCCCAGCACCCAACTCCACCACCCTCCGCCCCGCCAATACCTCGTTGTCGGTGGCCCAGTCTGCCAGCACGGCCGCCCCGTACCAGGTGGTGAGCCCTGTGGTGTTGTGGGTGATGCCGCTGCCACTCTCCAGCAGCGTCACGCCCACCCGACCCACTGCACTGCCGCCCCACCCGACGTACGTCTTGTAGTACACCTCCAGTACTTCACCTGGGTGAGACAAGGCCTCATGGATGAGCTCTGGCGGAAGGTGCCACCCTCGAGCCTGGCACTGTTCTCTCAGCCACTCGAGCACCTCGCGGGCGTGGGCGGGGTCCCTGGGGGCGGCGGCGGTCAGGGGGTGTAGTAAGCTGGCCATCAGTAGCTGCGACACGAGGTGTTGGGGCGACTCGTCTATGGAGGCAGCGTCGAGGGCGGTAGCGACGTGTGACCACAGTGTGCGGGAGAGAGGCACTCCCGCCAGGTGCCCGCGGGTCAACAAATAACACAACATACCTGGGCTGTTGTGTCCTCACCTGTGACCGTATCACCACCCAACACTACGAGTTAACTTAACACCGGTTGTCCAGGTCGATCATGATGCTGTGTGGCCGCACCTCACACCTTTGCTGGGCCACACCACTGCTGGGCCTCCACCCGTTCCCTGCAGTGTACAAGATTATCATGCAGTTCTGGTCACTCGCCTGGAGGGGGGGGGGGTGTAGCATAGGTTCCGAAATTATTTTTTTTTACTTTAACAATTTTACTGAATAACTATCAGCTATATCCTTTTGCATCATAAATTGCTTCATTTGATAATAATAATAATGTCAATATTTTGAACCTAACCAAACCTCACTGTATGTTTGACACAACTGAACCATGCATGTGGTTCGCTGATTCTAAACTGGGCTGCTCCCAAATGAACTATTTTTGTACTCGTCAAGTTTGTATTACAATAAATATGTGGCGCCTCCTTCCTGATTTTTTTTTTAGGGTATTAGCCCACCTGGGCACAGATCACTGACCCACATTGGGGCCTGAGGGGCGAAAATATAATAATAATAATAAAAAAATCAAGATTGCGAAACGGGGTATGTGTTGTGTTGTTAAAGGAAAAGAAACAATTGAGATCCTGAAATTGTGTGTTAATGAGGCAGAAAGTCAGATCAACAACCTGGGACTTGGTCACATATGGCAGCAGGGTCTACCATTAGACAACACATGATACTTCCAAGTCCTAATTAATTTCTTCGGTACAATGTCTTCTTATCTATTATATTCTGGCTACTGCCGCCAGACGATTTTATTCAGCTGGAGAAGTTTCATCTCGTAGTCAAACTTTTCCATTATACATTTGCTCACAAATGCCCCTTTTATAAAGGAACACCGTCGGTATTGCCAACACGTTATTTTACATGTAATCTCTCCCGACTGATGTGGTGTACACTTCCCGTCCTCACCCAGAGTACCACCCCCCAACACCTCTTTCCTCACTTACTAAAGAATGCTTTGAATTCACACTTCAGAGTTCGGGGGTTTACACCTCGGGGAGAGCAGTGGCAACACCAGGTGGCAGACGCGGGAGTGGAGCCAACTGTACATGGGAATTCCTCCACACTCACCTTCATAGGGAGGGTCATAAACTGCCTCCTTCACCTGCCCGTTTTCTCGTTAAGGTTTACTCTTGAGGATATGCTTGCTTAGTCTATCCAGTGCTTGTCCAAATGTTCAGTCGTTTCATCCAGTACTTAGCCCCCTCGTCCCCAGTTAAGTAGGAGGGTGAAGAACTCTGATCGTTCACTGTTCTTCAGATAGTCTTAGTAAATATTATCCACATATTAACGTCAAACTGAATGGCTGATACTTTCTTCAGTTGTCGGTAATTATAATTAATGACGAGAGCTTAGGTAACTGTGCAGATTATAAAAACTTTGGCAGTCTCCACAAGTGATCCTTCTACTATAGAGAAAATGGCCCACACACTAATCACAAGAGTTGATACTCCTAGGCGAGGCAGTAACTGGGAGACGTGTGTCGGCGGCCGGAACACACACACACTGGTGTTATGCAGGCGGGAGTGGTGCCAAGCCTCCTGCCAGAACCCCACACCAGCTGCTAGTTGGCACTGAGCCTCTCCTCACTGGCACCCCCCTTCCACCCCACTATCGTTTCACCTGTCACTTCCTACACATTTGCTTATCATTTCACACTAACTTGTAAACTCGCCTCTTACTGTAACTTGTTACTTTATATTCCAAGTTTCTAAGTCACCTTATACCTATTCTCACCTAAGTCTATGTTATCGCACTTTCACTTCTTGCCTCACTCACGACTTATTTTACTGACATACTCCTTACTCATATCATAGCTGTCACTTTATACTCACCTGTTCAACCACTTTACACTCAACTCAATCCCAGCCACAGAGCTCATTTCACATTCACTTTAGTCACCTTATCCTCACTGCAGACACTTCAAAATCTTATCATTGTCACCACACATTTTGAGTGACTAAATCATTTGCCAGCAATGCTTCCATAATAACTAGTAAGAAAGGTTTTGAACAAGAAAATAAAAAAGGGGTTTTAACATTTATTTATATAAATTTACATTCTCACTGGAATTCTGTACAACACATTTGATTCCTTTTTTGGAATACCCATGTTAAATGTTTTGCCATAATTTCAGAGCTGTGCCCAGCGTACTTCTAAGTAACGACTGTTACTGGAACGTTTACAAGCACTCTGTACATAACTTAGCATTAAATTAACCAAAAAGATATCTCTAGCCACAACGCTTAGCTTCCCTGGGTTGCCAACTGCTCGGCCTTCTCGATCACGTCTTGAATCTCGCCTTGCATGTAGAAGGCAGCCTCTGGCAGGTGGTCGTACTTGCCCTCCAATATCTCCTTGAAACTCTGTAAAAAGTGAACACCAATGAATAAACAGCTTCATGGGATGGTAATATTCTAGAGGGGGAGGATTAAACTTCTGCAAAAAATCATAATGTTCCTTAAATAAACTCTGCCAAGCTATGGTTAATATGAGTTAAGACATGTTATAAATTTGTACTGTACCTTAAAAGCAATTTACCACAACAGTAATCATATTCAGCCCGAGTCATCAAATTAAAGAAAAATAGTAAACTCCATACTTTATACTTCCAATAGGAGGTGTAAAAAAAAAAAAAAATATCCCGATACACACCAACCCAGGCTTCAAAATTTTTTATTATGAACATACAAAACCATTTATTACTTGCAGTGATATTTGTAAATGACACAAACTCTTACATTATTATTGGACTAACTATCATTTCAATACAAATGGACGGATTCATAAAGTTTAAACATTTGATCAATAGATTTGAAATTGGTCTTCAGCATACAGTATTCTCTCTCTTCCCTTAAAGTGCTTCACTGGTCAAAATTTCACAAGGCATTTATACCCTGGTCAAGGTTTTGAACTCTTGAGACAGCACCCAAAATACTAGAGGGCTTTGATGCCAATACACCTAAGGCCGCGGCCACAATGAGAGCAGGCACTCGCCTGCTGCAGCCACGTCTATATGGTTACAATGCTAGAAAGTCTTCCTCGCCCACCTGCTCTCAGTGCGGCCGTCGCTTAAGTCTGGCTGTGATTGTTCTTTTAATCTATCTCGTTGATTTAACCTCCTACCCTGTATATTTAATACTCAAAACCTATAAGACTGAAAAGTAAGTTAAGGTCACCAGAATTTAATCATCTTTATGATGTTATCAGTGCTGATGTACCAATATCTGGGAGGCTCTGTATAAAGTTCTCGAGACGCCTACACACTTCAGCTTCCTGATCTTAGTTAAACCAATACTGTAGTAGATAATGAAATTATCATCCAGTACTCAAGTAGAGGGGCAACTGTTGTCCAAAATATATGAAACTCAAATGACAAAAAGTGGCCATATACAAGAGAAGTCCTTAAAATACTAGTATTGTAATGTGAAGAAAAAACAATAAGCAAGATGAAGTTCCAAAACTGTATAAATAATGTACTGTACTTACTACAATGGTCTTCTCCAGAGAGACAAACTTGCCAGAATAACCAGTGAAGACCTCAGCAACCTGGAAGGGCTGAGACAGGAACTTTTGGATCTTGCGGGCACGTGCTACTGTAAGTTTGTCCTCCTCAGACAACTCATCCATACCCAAGATAGCAATAATATCCTGAAGTGACTTGTGATCCTGTGAGAAAGATTATTTCTAGTTACACACTTTTTTTAAATGCATAGGGTACATACACAATTGCAAGGTTTTACTGAAAAATCAACTTTGTAAATACTGTAATACTACAGTATAGTATATCAATATACATCCTTTTTCAAACTCACCTGGAGAATCTTCTGCACAGATCGGGCAACATCGTAGTGCTCGTGTCCGATGATGTTGGGGTCCATGATACGGGAGATGGAATCGAGGGGATCCACAGCAGGGTAGATGCCCAACTCGGCGATACCACGAGATAACACAGTGGTGGCGTCCAAGTGAGCAAAAGTGGTGGCAGGGGCAGGATCAGTCAAGTCATCAGCGGGCACATAGATGGCTTGCACGGATGTGATGGAACCCTTCTTTGTGGTGGTAATTCGCTCCTGCATGGTACCCATGTCAGTGGCCAGAGTAGGCTGGTAACCTACAGCGGATGGGATACGTCCAAGAAGAGCAGACACTTCAGAACCGGCCTGAGTGAAACGGAAAATGTTGTCGATGAAGAGCAGCACGTCCTGTCCTTCCTGATCACGGAAGTACTCTGCCACGGTGAGGCCAGTCAGAGCGACACGGGCACGAGCACCTGGAGGCTCGTTCATCTGACCGTACACCAGAGATACCTTGGAGGTGTCATCCTTCAGGGAGATGACGCCGGATTCAATCATCTCGTGGTAGAGATCATTGCCTTCACGGGTGCGCTCACCGACACCGGCGAACACTGAGTAACCACCATGAGCCTTGGCAACGTTGTTAATCAGTTCCATGATGAGTACAGTCTTGCCTACACCAGCACCACCGAACAGACCTGAAAACACGAGGCTGATAAGTTGCAATAAGGGCAGAATTAACAAAATAATTTCAACAATCTCATGAAAATATTCACTCCTCTATCCTAGATACATACCAATCTTTCCACCCTTGGAGTATGGGGCCAGCAGGTCTACCACCTTGATGCCTGTTACAAGGATCTCCTGCTCAACAGACATGTCAACGAAGTCAGGAGCCTCAGCATGGATGGCAGAGAAATGCTCCGTAGGGATGGGACCACGTTCATCAATTGGCTCACCTAGAAAGATCAGAGAACTATAAAACAAATGGACCTATACCTTACAGTTACTTATAATACACCAGTGAATTATGGTATAGGAAAACCTCACAGCTTGACAATAGACGAGGCAGGGCAGCTTTGTTGAGCAATAGCTGTAATTACCTTAACAATATATAATAATATTTGTGGTATTTAATGTTTTTACATACAAGAATGGAATGGGAGAGAAATCAATGTCTGTATGATACCAAGAACAACTTTGAATCTTGCCTCACACAACTAAGGGACCCCGAGTCAACATTTCAGAGCAATGATAATCTTAAACTAGTATTGTCATGAAAACAATACTCTTACCTTCTCTGCACAATACATATGTTTGCTGGCTGTCTCATTATTTCCCCAAATATCAAATTTTCCAAGCCATTTCATTAATTTACTATAAAGAGTTTCCTCCAGTAATAACACTGGACAATTCTGAAGGTCTAAGTAACAAAGAACAGACTGCTCTAATGGCTATTAAGCCGATAAGTAGTGAAACGATGAAATTAATAGTAGGGCGGCCAGAATCAAAGGCAAAATGCATATATTTTCTTCCTTCAATGATACTTTCTGCTGTCATAGATGTATTGTACTCTGATTTGGTTAGTCCTGCACACTGCTTCCTACATGTCCACTCCTTCACCCCATTCTTCCTTCTCCCCAATACTTCCCTCTCCTACCATCAACCTATCAAATCTTTTGCCATTTTACATGCAACTCTCAACCTCATACCACTACCCATGCAAATCACATCATCTTGCCGCCATCAATGCATTTCACAAGCATAAGCTACCGCCCACAAAATCAACCTGTAAAACTACCTATAAAAATCATACCTTGTGCAAGTACCCACATCAATTTCCACACACACCATCTTAAACTCTTTACCACAAACAGTAGAACCCAATGTCATCACCCACAACAGTATACCAGGGATGGTTTTCTCGTAAACTTCTTAGCAGTGTCCCAACTTACCAATCACGTTAATGATGCGACCAAGTGTTCCAGGCCCAACAGGAATGGAAATTGGGCTGCCGCTATCCTTCACGGCATTACCACGGACAAGACCTTCGGTACCATCCATAGCAATAGTACGCACAGTGTTCTCTCCTGCAGGACACAAGAGGATTAGGTTGGTTTAGTCTTCCTAACACTGATGCTAACTGCTGATACATCAAAAACTTATAAACTGAAAATTCATGCAAATTCCAACATTCTGACTTCTTAATTTCTACAGTTATGACAATAATCGATCATGAAGCACAATGTTCCTTGAAACTATTAATAAAACACAAGATTACAAAGAAACTAAGGGAGCATTATATGTATTTTTAGTGAGGAATTGTATAGGAAAGTGATGGTGAATATTGTAAGATTAGAGACATGTTTGGGTGAGGTGTACAGTGAATAATCAATGTGAAGTGGTAAATAATATCTTACCAAGATGCTGGGCAACCTCAAGCACCAGCCGAGGAACACGGTTCTCTACTTCCAGAGCATTCAAAATGGGTGGCAGCTCTCCATCAAACTGGACATCAACTACGGCACCAATTACTGCCACAATCCTGCCGGCGGCCACTCCAGTCTGGGTGGCGGCTTCAGCCTTGGCAGCATAGTTACGATCTGAAAGGATGGACCTAGTTAACACTGGAACCATTAAATGAAACAGTACACATTACTTCTTAGTTCAGTTGGCCAGGATAGGTCACCATGAATATGTATGGCACGCAAAACCTGTGTCATCACCTAATTTTTTAATCTAGTCATAAATCACACTAACCAATTGTTTCAATTACCACATGCAATACTGTACATAAATATAATTAACAAAATTCTTTCAACGTGTTAAACCTTATCAGTGTTGGGACACTCAATTAAGGCTGCCAAGAAGTGGACTAGTTCACAACTATGAACGAGCCCACCGTACACCCTTGTAAGTATGGAATAAAATTAACTGTTCAGTACTACATATATTTCACTTTATAATGCTACTGTTGACTTAAAATCAATATGTACACCAAAGACACACTAAAAAAAGGTTTTCAGTAATTATTATTATTATTTTTGGGAGGTCCTGGGGTCAATGTGACTGGAGGCTTTCTGAGTAATGTTATTCAACCTGTTTCTGAACAGTTGGTAGTTCTACACCGCGGCCTTTGAACACCAATGAGTAAATACGTTTTTGAACAATATATACAATAATATAACTTAATGGATATTTTGTTACATTGAAGTATCTAATACGACTCCCTACCCCCTCTATAGTCACCTCACCAACCTGAGATTAACCACCCTTATGCCTAGGTCAGATTAGCATTAGGATAGTTAATCTTGGGGTGAATTAAGAAGGGTTATCAGATGAACTTTACAATATAATAACAGGAACTCAAAGCACTGGAAGACTGCTGTACTGTACACCCCTTAGTGGCCAGGGCTGTGGAGCGGAAGTCCTCGTCAATGTTTAAATATTTTATATGTGGTTCTGGTGGAGATATTGATCATGGGAATATGTCAGTGTGAATTACAAGTGGTGAGAGGGAGAGAGAGAGAGAGAGAGGGAGGGAGGGAGGGAGGGAGAGGGATCAGGTCCAGACAACAGTGGCCGGGCTGATCAGCTGACGTCCCCACAATACCTTATAACGCTACAACAATCATCAATTGCCTTCATATCGTATACAGCAGCATCATCAACCATCAAGAGACACGTAATAGATAAATTATAGAAATATGGCCGGTTATATGATAGCCGGCCGCCATCTTCACCGGGCAAGTTACCGGCACTCAACTAAAGCTGCAGTTTTTACGTTATGACACCAGTTACAGACGCTATTTAATAACTCACGGCTGATGTACAGAGCTGGGACGGTCCTGGTGCCTGCATTTTGAAGATTTTTGGCGACGATGGTAGGTTTGGTCGCCTTAAGGACAGAGGAGCAGGCGCGCGCAGCAGCTCCCAACATGGTGGCTAGTGAGGAGTGATGGCCGACCCGACACCCGCCACCACCCTCGCCTCCACTCGGCTTTACTCGGCTCTACCTTCCATACCTCACCATATCCTTAATTATATCCATTATTAAAATAACTACAACAACATATTTTTCATCAATAACATGCATAGAAAATAAAAAAAAAATTTATTATAAGTTACATATCCTATTATAAATATTAAATAACGTTTATAATATGAAATTAGATATTTTTAATTGGAAGTATTGGCATTCTATGATCAGCTGTTCGGGTTTACAGTTCTCTCCTCCCATTGGTCATTGCTGCCATGACGTCAGTGCGCATGCGTCACAGTTCTCTCCCATTGGTCATTGGTGCCATGACGTCAGTGCGCATGCGTCATCCTAGCAGACGATATACCGGTGTCTTTTGCTTACGTTCGTGAAGATGTTCTATTAGGTAATATTAACAATTATTTATCCTTTTATTGCTATAAATTATAAAATGGTATTGTATTTCAAAATATTTATTACCTTCATGTTTTTATCATCATAATAAATAGGTATTTTTTCTTATATTTTTATTCATAACTGTTGCATTAGATGTATAATTAACTAAAGTCAATTATTTAAAGTTCTTGTTTTATTCTCAGGAAACATTGAGAAACATTGATTTAATTAAGTCAAAAGTAATCGTCACATGAAATTATATATATTTATTTCAAACGTGAACTGTGTAAGGATTTTCCACATTATTATTATTGACTCATACAGCAGCAGACAGTGGGTGGCGGGCAGACAGTGGGCGACGGGCAGACAGCCGGCAGTCAGCTGACCAAGTGAGGCTCTCTGCCAAGTGACGTCTAGCCGGCACCTTATTCTCTCCTACACTAAATAAAATAAACTAGAATGTATAGATTCATTACGTGAATAGATATATATTAATATGATGTCAGAAGTCAGGTAATTATAAAATACGGGCATTAGAAACAAGGGCATATATCACTTCATTAAGGAATAACCTACAGTAAATCATAAGTTTTTATTAATGGGGTTATTTAATTAATCTACCAGGTGTATAATATTAGTAGTAATATAAAATCAAGCGAGTATTTCAAATTAATTAAACAAAACCCGACCTTTCACGAGAAGACAAACTCGTAAAACTGAAACTAATATAAAATACGAAATAAGAATAAAGTCTGAGAAACATATAATTATTATTACAGTGTTTATATTTGTTCTCAGTACAGTAATGACTTCCTAGGGCAGAGGCGGATCCAGGAATATTAAAATGGGGGTCCAAGTTGTGGGTGGGAGAACAAGGCGATCACAGCGAGTCCACCAAGGAGATATTCTGAAGTCAATAGTATTTACTTTTATTTACTTTTACTCCCCGCCCACCTGGTACGATGTCCTCCGTAACCTTCCTGACCTCTCGTAGGTTTACGGGAAAGGGTCGCGGAAGGGGGACGTGATTGCTGCCCGTATCATCATTGGGTATGACTTTGCTTGGGAGATTGGTATCCCCGCATCCCCTGAGCAACGCTCTTGTGCATTATGCAGAAGACCCGACAGCCGCACCCTTATCCACTACCTCCTAAGATGTCCCCACACACAACGCCTGCTGGACCACCACCCCCTGACGATGATCCTCCCAATACTGACCAGATATTTTGTAAATAATATTAATTATGTGTTAAAGGAATATCCTTCCTTCCTTAGGCTTTAGTAAGCCCCTTTATAATATTTATACTGTATATACTTGTCACACTTGCCAGATGCTTCTGGTGTTATTGTACAGGGGTACCTAGTGACAGCACTAGGACCCCGCTTCCTCTATCAAGGAATAAACAATTGAATTAAACCTCCACTGGGATAGCCGTGTCGTATATCGTCATGAATTAAGCCTCTATTATTGCAGTAAATTTTGTAATATACATAAAATGATCAGAGTTAGAGATGCTTCTTTTACACACGTGAGGTAAATTGTGGTTATAAATAAGAATACAATTGTGGGATACATAAGTGTACACACAGGTCCCAGCGGCTGTGTGAGAACCTTTGTCTTCATTAATTACAGCAGCTTCTGTTGTGTATATATTATTATGTATTTATGATAGTAAGAGAGTAAGGTCTTTAAAGGTTTATTATATTTTAATTGATACACTATATATCAACAATATAAAAAAATAATGAAAAAATATTGATTTGGTAACAGTAGTGATGTGTCGTGAAGAAACTATACTATTTAATAAATAAACTATATTTAAAAATTACTATATATATAATTTTCTCAATATAAATTATACATAATTAGTTTAAAATAATAAATATATGGTTTAAGTATTTATATTACTAGAAAATAAGGATAGACAACAGGTTAGGGAGGTGCTGGTCTCGGCCACTCCACCATGGCTCTCAGGGCAGACCACACGCGGTCCACCCACCACCTCAACACTATGGGCCATAACTCCTTCTATATATACCTTACCACCTATAATAGACTTCCACTACAAACTACATAATATAACGTAAGTATGGGATGGTGTTTTAGGGGTATTTGATTTATTTGTGATGGTGAGATATAGTAGTGGTGTAGGGGGGAGTGATGGCCATGCTGCCTTCATTTATTTAGGCTTTATTATATACTGTACTCTATAACATTGGTCATGGATTTCATTAATTATCTCTTAGTGTGTGTGTGTAGAATTTTATGAAAGGTTATGGTAAATTTTTATTAAGGACACGAGTCCCTAGAACATAAGGAGTCTGCAATAGGCCGGTTGGTCTATAGTTGCAATAAGACCTCTGCACTCTTGTTACTTACACTTCTAGATATAAAACCCAATACTCTGTTTGCCTTATTTCGAACATTAACGCACTGTTTTCCAGGCCATAGGTCTGGGCTTACAAGTACCCCTAAGGCTCTTTCACAAGTCGACTTCTCCATGTTGATGTTGTTAAGGCTGTATACATTGACAGTATTTGTTCTTCCAATATTAAGTACGCTGCACTTGCTGGTGTTGAATTTCATTTGCTATTTTTTCAGACCACCCCTGCAGTTTATTTAAATCCTCCTGTAGTGCATTTGCATCCTGCCCTGAATTAATCTGCCGCCCTATTTTGGTGTCATCCGCAAACTTGCTTAAGTCACTGCTGATCCCAGTATCTAGATCGTTTATGTAGATTATGAACAGAGTGGGCCTAGTACTGACCCCTGGGGAACCCCACTGGTTACACGGCCCCACTCAGATTTAACACCATCTACGCTGACCCTCTGCGTTCTATCGATGAGCCATGATTTTATTCAATTTAAAACTTTCCCCTCGATACCATGAGCCTTAACTTTTCTCAGAAGCCTCTGATGAGGTACTCTGTCAAACGCTTTGCTAAAGTCTAAGTAAATAACATCGTAATTTTCGTCATTATCTACTAACTCGAAGACTTTCCTAAAAAACGTTCAGCAGATTTGTTAGACAAGATTTTTCCTTTGTAAACCCATGTTGAGAGTCGTAGATTAATTTCCTTTTCTCTAAATGTGATCGGATGCTATCTGCTATAATTGATTCAAGAAATTTCCCCACTACTGACGTCAAACTGATCGGCCGGTAATTTGACGCTGATGCTCTGTCTCCCTTTTTGAATATGGGTACTACATTTGCCTGTTTCCACAAGTCTGGCACAACTCCCATGTCTAATGATTTTGTAAATAAATTTACGAGGGGTCCGCTAATCTGTTCCCTACACTCTTTCAAGACTCGAGGGAAAATTTCATCCGGCCCTGGGGATTTTGTCTTCTTTAGTTTATTTATCCTCTTAAGAACATCCTCTTTTCTGATAGTGATATTCATTAATTTCTCTTCTTCCCTTCCCTAAATATTGGTTCCTAATATATATATATATATATTAACTGTCTCTTAAATTGGGTGTGAGTTATCTTGTAATTGGGTACGACGTGCCATGTTCTGATGGGTATGAGTTGTCCAGCACCCCAAGAACCTGACCAAACTTAACCTAACCTTCCTTTATTACACAAGGCAGCAGCATGGCTGACACTGCCCTGCCCTATGGTCATGTTAATGAACTGTAACTTTAGGAACTATGCATGGGTGAACTGAGGGTGCCAGTGACCTTGACAAACTGTGTATCCATATGGCTGCCCTTAGATCAACCTTGTTCAAAGGTCTGTAGAGAATCATTGATAGGAAATACTATAAGTATTATTTTATTGAACAGTTGGGTCATAGACGTTCCATGGAAGGAAGGTAATAAGATGGGGGCTGGTTGTGAGTTAGTATTTCTTCTCTAGTGCTTTTAATAGTAAATGTTTAAAAGTAGTTTATATATTAATATGTTTGGTGGTGATGAAAAATGTAACTTTACAACTGATGCTTCTGTAAAGAGGTCAATTTTGTTAAGTTTACCTCCTGTGCTTACCACAGCTTTGTGTTTAGCTATCACTGCTGTAATTGGATGGAGGGAGAGCATGTGAAGACTGAATGATGTCTTGGTAGTTAAGTTGCCAGGATATTTAGTGTTCAGACAAGAGTTATTTTAACCCTTAAATGCTGGCCATCACTAGTTGATGTTTAGTGCTTCATGCATTCCATTTTTATGCATATTAGTCCATGGGCTTGACCTGGTACCACTCAAGGGGGGAAAGTTCAATATAGAGGGAATTTGTGAACCATCACTGTTAAGTAAAAACTATTGATAGCCAGATGAGTAGTTTAATGCCTTTTTCTGCAGGCATAGTACACCCTTAACCATGATAACCTGTGTACGTGATAGTCATTATTATCATGTTCACTATTTATTTATTGAAACAAGCAGGATTATCTTCTAGGTGCATTGTTTGGAGCCAAGTTATGTGCCTGATACATAATCTTGTATTTGTGTATGGAGTATAATTACTGTTTTTGTCTTTATGAATGTGTGGAGCATTAATTACTGGTCATATTTTGCAGGTAGAACTGACTGTAGATGGATATTGAGGATGAATCCAACAGATTGCCATCAAAGAGGCCACATGTAGGCTGCATCATCCACTGCTCACATGAAGAGACTAACTGATTATCACCACAAAGTTTGGACTCTTGGAAAATATTACTAAAGCGAACAACTATTGTAAAGGACGGGAAACAAGAGAGACTTGTACAATGCAGAGAACTGTGAACTGATGCCAAGATCAGGAGTGCAGGAACATGGACAACAGAATCCTTGCCATTGTCAGTAGAGATCTTGTAGCTGCTGAAGGTCACTACCGTAGGTCCTGCTGCCGATATTACACCATGCTGCTGCGTGCATTGCATGCTGTAAATTCTGGCTCAAAAGCTGTGATAGTCACAGCTGATGACACTGGTGTCATGGACCTATGCTTTGACTTCCACAAGGACATCCCATGCCCCATTTATGTCAAGCGTGGCACATGCAACTGCCTGAGGTTTGTCGACACCAGCAAACTAGGCAGTGCAATAGGCGAAAGCATCTGTGACAGGTTGCAGGCTGTGACACCAAGAGTTCTGGTCATGGGAAGCTGAGTGCCCTGCACCTGCTGAAGGACATTGCCTTCCAGAAGACTTTCAGCCAACTTGGGATGTTTCCCCAGAACTGTTTGAGAAGGTCCAGCGGTTCACCCGCAGCAATATGCTGTAGATAACATCACCAATGGGGTGATCCACCTAAAACACCCATCTTATCTATACAGGGTAAGATATTTCATATGTTATTTTATATTTTATGATGTCCTTATCTGATGTTTCATCTTTCGGGACCAATTCATTGTGAGGAAAGTTTTTTACTGAAAGCTTTGCATCATATACTGCATCTTTGTTGTTTCATGTATACAAATAAATGTTTGCATTTCAGATTCAATGGATTGAAGTACAGTACTACCCAAAACTCAGACCTGCAGACAGGAGTTGGCAGGTGAGTTCCTACTCCTACTACTATAGTTTGGGGAACAGTGTATTTAACGTGACCCCTTGATAAATGAACAGTGGGGTTGCAGGTTTGGAGATGAAAGGTTATTTGTAAACGCTTAGATTGGTGGCCTGATAAAATGAACAGAAAATCTTGAGATAAATAAGTCAGGTTCTTGAATACTGTTGAAATGTATCAAGTAAGATTTCATGTTGAAAGTGTTCACTGGGTCCTCTCTCATCCATCAGACCTGGTTTGTTTGTGTGTTAACCGGGTGGCTTGTCCTTTGCTTTGTTATATATTATGTAAGGTCGTAGGCATGAGACTGGCAGCCTCAAGTTTGTCCACATATCTTTGGTTAAATCAAAGGCAGCTGGCAATGTTTGGTATGTAGCAGTGTTGTGATGTTTTGCTTAAGTATTGATAAAAAAGGCTTGGTAGTTTTGTTTTATTTATTGATAATGTTTTTATTGTAATTAATAAGCTTTCTTCAGCTTAATGTGGGATGGCTGGAAGTGTGCAAATAGAAGCACAGTCTTGCTATAATGTACAGTGTTTGTCAATCACTTGTACTGGTAAGGTTTATTATTGTAGACTACCGGTATTAGTTCACAAGTTGAGAACTGAAGCAATAAAATAAAACATAATTTGGTAAGGTAATGTTGTGCTTCTCTTTAAAGTGACTTACACGTTGTAAACATGATGTTTCATCTTTCGGGACCGACTCTTAATGAGGAAAGTTTCTCTACTGAAGACTTATATGTACCAAGCTCCTTGTTTACTCTTGTGTACAGGTTGATGTTTACTGTTTCAGATCCTGTTTACTGGGGATGGATTATCCAGCCATTGTTTCCCCTCTGTGATATCTGGCAGTAGAGAAGACAGTACAACACATTGGGTGAGTATTTTATTTCACAATTTTAGACAACCTCTTTCATTGGGTGTGTAAATGATTTGAATGACTAACAGCACAGAACATAGGAGTAATGGAAGTGATGTTGACGATGAAGACTTTACCAAATGTACTGTACCAATAAGTGTGTCGAGGATGGGTTACAAACACAACCTTGAAGGGCAGTACTGTACTAGAGGTCTGCTCAGCCAAGTGTAGTAAACGACTGGGGATTAAATTAACATATAATGGTTTTGTCTTCATTTTGCATCATTAATTTACAGCCACTTTCCCACACACTTGTCTGGGTTAACAGTGATTGTTTAATGGCTTGGTGTCTTGGTTGTCATTGGGGTAATTTGAAACAAGTTTTGACAACAATGCCTCACCTCTCACCACCACCACTTGTATATTAATGACTGGGTATTTTATGTAGGGCCTCCAAGTGGCCTCTTAACTGATAAGGTCATGACAGATAACCAAATATTATTTAGCAGTTTTTTGTTTTTGTTGGGTAGAATGTACTATAGTATTCCACGCTAACCTGTGCCCATAGGTCCCGCCTCTCTTCTATGCTAATAGCTGATTGGTTCATAGAAAATTCAAACTAAATGTGTTGACAGTTGGTAAGCAGACCTGTTATTATCTAAAATAATGTTAATTATATGAACTATCAAACTGTAAATGATTTCAAGTCATTAGCACTTGAGAGAGGATGTTAGAAAATGTTAAATATTTATCATAAAAGGTCGATATAAATATATGTGCAGTCCGGGGGAGTACGCTCGGGGGAACCAATCTGCTATGTGGCTATAGACGAGGGGCGTGGAAAGGGTACACTTTTGGTAGTCTGATTGCTGTTACGTCTATATTTAGTAATATGCTTTTTCTTGTGAATGTTTACTTTGACATTTAAAATTAATTTAATCTATATAATTTAGAAGCATTAGATAAACAGTTTATTGATTTATGCTGTGATGAATGCATTTAGAGATTACCGTGTGGGGGAAAAAATTAGATAATACGAGGGCCTTAGAAACACGAGGCTGCAAGCACCACCGAGGGGGAAATGGAGCTGTTGGTACCAACTTATTCTCTAAGTTGAGTTCTGTCTTGTGGAGCTTGGCCTTGTGTTACTCTCACATGGTTGAAAGTAGCACCGAAATACATTAGTTTGTGTACCTAAAGACGGCGTCACACTAGCATTTCCATTGTCAACTTTTTCATTATGGGTTGATTTTTCCACGAATCGTTAGCGTTGTTGGCTTTTTGTCAAACGGTACAGATCGTCTGCACTGACAACTTCCCGGAGTCAACTTGAGAGCTATAATAATTGATGCTACAAATGGTTATAGAAATAAACCAAGTTAACTTAAAATATAAACCTAAAATTATTATGAAGTAATTATTACTCTTCCCAAGATTATTCTTTAATATATTTATTTTTGTGATTGTATAGAGGTCGGAAAATGTCATTTGTTGTTTACATTTTGACCACGCGGGAATAACAACAACACGACGGAGCCAAAAGATAAAATAATTTCCCAAGTATGGACACGCCTCTCTGAGGAGTTCTTGGTGGACCACAGTAAGGCAGTGCCTCTGTCTCTGGGATCACCAGGACTCTTCATACACCAAAAAGGTGTTGAATTGCTGCGCTCTCTTCATCGGTTGGATCCATCTTGTTTGTTGACAGTTGTCGAAAGAGAGAAACTGGTGAGTTGGTTCTAAACATGTGTGATGGTGCCAACAGAAAGTTTGACAATTTTCTGAAAGTTGACGAAAAAAATCAACGAAAAATGCCAGTGTGATGCTGCCTTTAAAGGACTGTGTTCAGCATGTCAATGTTTGTCACACAAGGCCACAAGTACCACCCCACTGCACCACATCCCTTCAACTCGCATAGCAGCCAATGACAGGCTCGCGTCACCTACCACACCTCCCAGTTGAGCCAATGACTCAGAGGGTAGACCCACTTCAGCCCTTGAGCACACATCTGGGGGATTGAGTGAGACAACATTTCTCTCAGTGTTAGCTACCTCACTGTGTTGTTCCTTAGTCTTCATGCTAACCATACATGTACTTTGGCCAGATGTGCATGGGCTGTGATGTACGACTCATACACAAAACTTTAACAACAAATATCTTCAAAATAAAACCACCCCACCTAGATATCTATAGTGGTTGTGGAGTAACAAGTGAAGAACTTTAGAGGCTTGTTTCTCACTTTTTAAAACACAGCGCTTGTAGATCCGGCCTTGTGAGTCTAAGGCCCCCATATATATATATAAAGGTTAATATATTTAAAAGGTTGACATAACTGGATGGGGGGGGGAATAAGAATCACTCACACCATCCTTGTACCACCTTGATGTGTAAACTTACCATCGTGGCTCAAAAGCACACTACCATTATGAATATTGATTGGATAATTTTTGCCTAATATAGATAGATTGATAATTAAAGTTGTGTATTAATGGGTTAGGAAATAAAATTAATACATGATGTTTCATCTTTCGGGACCGACTCTTAATGAGGAAAGTTTCTCTACTGAAGACTTTAAGCTTATATGTACCAAGCTCCTTGTTTACTCTTGTGTACAGGTTGATGTTTACTGTTTCAGATCCTGTTTACTGGGGATGGATTATCTAGCCATTGTTTCCCCTCTGTGATATCTGGCAGTAGAGAAGACAGTACAACACATTGGGTGAGTATTTTATTTCACACTTTTAGACAACCTCTTTCATTGGGTGTGTAAATGATTTGAATGACTAACAGCACAGAACATAGGAGTAATGGAAGTGATGTTGACGATGAAGACTTTACCAAATGTACTGTACCAATAAGTCCACATATCTTTGGTTAAATCAAAGGCAGCTGGCAGTGTTTGGTATGTAGCAGTGTTGTGATGTTTTGCTTAATTATTGATAAAAAAGGCTTGGTAGTTTTGTTTTATTTATTGATAATGTTTTTATTGTAATTAATAAGCTTTCTTCAGCTTAATGTGGGATGGCTGGAAGTGTGCAAATAGAAGCACAGTCTTGCTATAATGTACAGTGTTTGTCAATCACTTGTACTGGTAAGGTTTATCATTGTAGACTATTAGTTCACAAGTTGAGAACTGAAGCAATAAAATAAAACATAATTTGGTAAGGTAATGTTGTGCTTCTCTTTAAAGTGACTTACACGTTGTAAACATGATGTTTCATCTTTCGGGACCGACTCTTAATGAGGAAAGTTTCTCTACTGAAGACTTTAAGCTTATATGTACCAAGCTCCTTGTTTACTCTTGTGTACAGGTTGATGTTTACTGTTTCAGATCCTGTTTACTGGGGATGGATTATCCAGCCATTGTTTCCCCTCTGTGATATCTGGCAGTAGAGAAGACATTGGCTGACATAACTTGGGAAAGAAGAACTCCGTGTCTTGGAAAGGTTTGTGGTGGTGATGTACGACAGGTCTAGTCCAGCTTTGTCTAATGCAATTCTACCAAGACGGTCTGCCATAAAGGAACATGTAATGTTTGCAGCGTATCAAGGTGGAATGATCTGGGGTCAGGCAGCAGTACCCAACCAGATATTCCAAGTCCTGCTAACTGAGGCTGGTAAAATAAAGATAAATACCCTGGACAGACATTCCACCAATAGCACTCAGCTGTCAAGAACTGACCAGGTGTACTTACAAGAAACACTATGAACAGCTATGTAAATGCAGCAGCTGTTGAGTATTCTTATACCCTGTAACAATATCTCCCAAGGAAATGATCAAGGTATAAACATGTTTCTCATTGTTTAACTAAGAATCATTTAAACTTTTCTATGAGAGAGAGCCAACCGTTTGTACAGGACCCTTAGTTCATGCCCAGTAGACATATCTGATGGTTTCCCCCCAAAAGTTCAATTAGGAAGTTATCTTGGAATTTTGAATGTCCTATGGAATAATTAAGCCATTCAATGTTCACACTGTTTCATGCTTGTATGAGTGTATCTGTATCACTGTAATGTAGGTTTAAGTTGGGGCAGGACTTAACTGACATACTGAGTGGGGGCAGGACTTAACTGACATACTGGGGAGTGAGGGCAGGACTTTACTGACATACTGGGGAGTGGGGGCAGGACTTAACTGACATACTGGGGAGTGGGGGCAGGACTTTACTGACATATTAGGAGCTAAAATAAAACACTAGGTTGGTGAGGATGACCGACTTTGTTCAGCCTTCATTATTAGTCAATCATAATTTTGACTACATAATGTACAAGTCGACCATTGTAGTGTGCTGGTGTCACAGATGTCCTCCAGTAGTAAGATGACTCGGGTGACTTGAGCCAACTTAGAATACAGAAAACATGTAGCTTTGGTTATCAACAAGATGTAATAAATACTTCAAACTACGATAAATTCTTAACTGGCATTTTGTGTATCAATGGTAGGAAGGGGAAAATATTTTTAGGTTTACAGATAAAGATGGAACTTGTTACATAACTATTGAACCAAGATTGTGATGGGTTGTGGTGTTTTATGTATTGATAAACCAGAAAATAAAACATCCAACATAAGATAAAACATCAGTTCACCAATGTTATGTAGAGGAGTTTTACTTTTATTTACTTGACTTAAATATTTTACTCATGTCATACAAAATGGTTGCTTATTACAACTACTGTACATGATAAATAAGTTGGATATTATTGAAAACTGTATTTTCCTTAATAAATTTTGTCAGTGATATGTACAGATTTTTACTTGAATTTTTTTGAAAAACCTTCATGATTTGGAGTAAATATATTAAGATTTTGAAAAACAATTGGTGACAAAGATTATTGTCAAAAGGAATTTTTAGGTTCAAAACTTTCTCTTTCAGAATCAGGAGTTTAAGGCGTGTCACTACTGCAGTACAGCCAGAGTAACTCAGTCATAAGAGAAACTATAGGTGGTGAGTTATTATTATCGCAGAAAGTCACAAAAGCTTTGAGATGTCATTTGGACAAAGTTACTCTAAACAGATATCAAATTGTGGACATCAACCCTAAATCCGCCTTATATATATTGACTCAAGTATAGACTAACTTTACCACTTGAACACATTATTGTAGGTTTCACTTAACACAGTCATGTCGCCCTGAAAAATCCTGAACTATTACCTTGGTTTCAGCAGATGAGGTCACGATGTAGACTGTATTAATGTTTCATATAAATTTACAGTACTCTCTTACATGCTAATGAAGGATCTGGATTCATAATGTGATTTGAGTAATTCGTGTTAATTAATAACCCTTTAATTAAACACCTAGAGAATTTTTAAAACATCAGTAATGTGTAAGATATAAGTCTCTCATATATTTCTCAGGAATATAGGCAAACGTTACGAGGATCCTCCGGCATATTAAGGTCATTTGCGAGGGAAACGTCATAGAAGAACGGTGTCTTAGAATTGTCTGAACTATAAGGAAACAATTTTACGGTAGGTCAAAGTTACAAATTCACCGAAATGAAACCTTTGCATTTTATTTTCTTTGTTATTCCCCGGAAACAACAGAACGGTGGCCAGTGTTTGGAGCCATGTGCCTATGTCCCCACCACACACACTGCTCCCAAACAAAGAAAATCTGGCCAAAACTCCAAAAAGATAATTTAATAAGAATTAAATCTTAAAATAAACACCACTATAAAAAAATTGGATGTGATGCATATTTTTAAATTTAGAATATTTAAGAACTTGTACTGAGACTGCATGTGTGTGTCCCCCAGGAGGTCAGGGCATGTGTGTACCCCAGGAGGTCAGAGTATGTGTCACCCCCCCAGGAGAGGAACCCCATTGTAAGAACATAAAACTCTCCAGCAGTAGGTATTGAAGCACGTTAAGCAGAAGAGGTTGCAGCAGGAAGAAAATAAGAGATTTGTATTTATTTTTTTTAAAGAAAGTTAGAATCGGAGAAAACAGAGTGAGGAAATGGCTCATAATCAAGGAAGAACAAAGGCCTTCCAGCAACAAAAACAAGCATTTACTCTCCCTGAAAAACTAGCTCATGTAATTAAAACTAAGAATTTAAACAAAATCAAATGAGTGAATATTACATGGGAAAGACCACTAAATATTTTGTGTACAGTATATATCATGGAATTAGGTTAGTTTTCCTATTTTAGTGCTATTATGCTATTGAAACCCCCAGGTGCTAGTGCATTTGTGATAAATCACTTTGGTAAGTATTAAATTTTGAATTCCGACACAAAACGGTGCCAAAAAAAAGCTTATCCTTTAGTTTATCTTCTCTCAATAATGGTGCGCAATTAAAAGTATTAAATTCAAGTTTAGTAACAACTAAAATTTGTAAAGGAATTATTAAGACTATTGTACTGTATGCATACATGTTTGAACTTGGGTACTGTGTATTTTAACTCTCAGGTGCTCCCAAAATGAGTAACTGAGAAATTAAGTTAATATGGTAACACCTTCCCGGGTAGTGTTTCTCCAGACCCTCCAGCTCAAATGTTTTTTTTTCCGGTTCCCTAGACCGAATCGCACCCCTGTATAATATAGTTACCCCCTCCTTTAAATCAACGTCATAGAAAATGTTCGAAGGTAAATTTTAATGCAAGACTTAGCCACACATACAAAATATCAAGACAAAGAACCAATCAAGACCTAATGACTTGGCTTTTTGTGACGTGTGACTATGGTAAGAATGCATAGTACCATTGAGGGAGCCTGATGTGTATTATAGTAAGTGAGTGAACATAAGTAATGAATTTTAATGAGTGTGTATTTGTGTCCGAGGTGTTAACAGTGTGTGTGGGGAGAGGGGCAAGGCAAACTGTGAAGCCTAATCCTGTCTTCTGTAATGTGTTTTAAATTTCGTGTGTTATCTGCGTTTCCCTAATGCATTTTTAACACACTCTCTCTCTCTCTCTCTCTCTCTCTCTCTCTCCGTCTGTAAAATAGCAAAGGCCTAATGAAATATAAGAATACATTGTGGAGTATTAAGTTGGAAGAGGAAAACTGGGATAATTATTGATTATTATTATTATTTCTTTATTTTTCGTGTTACATTTAAAAGCTGAGAGGTGAGGAAGAGAGGAATGTGAGGGGGAGAGTCTACCTTTTTAACAGGTGAGGGGGGGAGAGACGTGTGTGTGTTGAACTGCCATAAACTACGGTAATTGTCGTGGAAATACTCTTGGCTGGTAGTGTAGGCCAGGTGGGGCATCCCGTACACTCTCACCTGAGGATGGCAGCCACGCAGGTGTTCACTATATCAACACAGCTTAGCCTCGGGTGGTCACCTTACTGTCTCCTGCTCCACCAGATTAACTTACCACCTTATTTTACTTTTAAGATTAACCACCCTGATGCTTACGTGACTTAACACAATTTAACCTAACATAACATAGCCAAGCCTAGCCTAATACTAACCCAACCTAACCTAACTTAACCTAACCCAAGCTTCACCTAACCCCCCTTGGAATCATCAGGTGAAATAAGCTGTAGGTGGAGCTAATCTTCAGGTGATCCAATAAGTCTTGTAGAGCTTAAATGTCGCCGTATACCTCGACCATGGCTGTGTACGCTTGAGCCTTGTCTACACCTTGTGATGTTGATATGCTACTGTGTGTGTGTGTGTGTATGTGTGGCTCTGTGTGTGTGTATGTGTGGCTCTGTGTGTATGTGTGGCTCTGTGTGTGTGGGGCTATGTGTGATAATGTTTACATATACTGTATTAACTTTATTCTTCAGGTATATTTATATTGATGTTACTAAAGACAAAGTTGCCTGAGAGTCGCTGTTGTAAGTTCACGTGTCTATTGTATTAAAGGAGGAGGTGTTTACATAGCGTGTGTCAACCATAAAGAAATGAACTCCTGTATACCAGATGGTCGAGACACACTTCTTCCTTCCTCCCACATGTCACCCCCGACCATCCACACCCCTCTCATAGTCGCTAATTGCCTCCCCCATCACCCCACTAACTACCCCATTTTATGATTAATAGTGTTGGGAGCCTTAATGACACGTGACGTAATGAGGGGTGGTTGAGGAGGGGTATAGAGTGTTACTAGTGGACTGGTTACATTCTGTGTGTGTATCTGGTCCACCTGACACGTCTACTACCCTGTGTCGTTCTTCCTGATGTTAGATAAAGGTCGAGCTATCATGATGAGGTGAGACACACTACCAGGAGGTAGATGAGAGGAGACCTGGCACTGTGAGATAGGGTTAACAGATGAGCCAGGTGGTGGGCCTCCTCAGGTGTGTCCCAGCTAACTATACCACTACACACCCCCCCTCCCCCTCCAACACACACTAGGGTACCACCACCTCACACATCTACACTACGGTAATATAACCCATCATATTGTAGTAACTTAATACGGCCACTTTTCTTTTTCAGCTCAAGAAATTGAACGGAAAGTGTGTGAAGAATTCGCTAACCAGTCAGAGGTCCCCACAGTTCGCCGTCTCTTATACACAGAGTAATAATAGTCGATGTACAGTGAGGAACAGAATACCCTGATTGGTTGAGGTGTATTAAATGCTGCTTTATCATCACTGTATTATGAAGGTACAATAATATGAGAAATATTCCTTAATACAAAGAAAAATATGAGATGCTCCTAAAGTGTCCAGGGAATTTTGTCCGGAAGTGCATTAAAAAAAACCTCGGGATGTACTGGACAGACTTTGAACTTATCGTTATTATTAAGATACCTGGGCGACTCATGGAGGTATACTGAAGAAGGGGGCAAAAATACGATAACAGTTTCATAACTTTTCTCCCAAGATGGTCTGACAGTGGCTATTGTTCATAAAGTACCACGTACAAAATCGCTAACCCATGAATCAGTTAAGTCGCCGATACGAACCAAATGAACCTAAATTTATGAAAAGTAAACGAAAAAACCGAACAAACAATTAATTTAGATTCTGTTGGTTAGTGTGGTGTAAATAGTAAAGGGTTTAGCCAAGCTGTCCATTGTTCGTGGTATATTGTTGGCATTATGACTCAGTAGCCAGCGTGTGTTCGTGGTATATTGTTGACATTATGACTCGGTACCCAGCGTGTGTTCGTGGTATAGTGTTAACATTACGCTTCAGTGGCCGCCATCCCAGTGACTGATGATCCAACTGGTGAAGATTTTTTTTTATTCCTTCGCTGTAGTGATGTTTCCCGCCACCACAAGGGGATCATATCTATACCTCAGATGACAAAGGTGTGTTTTCTCTATCACCTTGAAGTAGGTACACACTTGACAGGAGTTAATTAGGTTGGTTACTAATGAGGTGAAGATGACTCACTGTAGAGATGGTGTGGGAGGAAGGAGGATGGCGCCATCTCTTGCCTTAGTAGTTTTATAATATATTTTTGGGTTAAATTATAATGAATCACAAGAAGAAGTTATTTTAATGTTAATGGTAGATGAATGGTTATGTAAATCTGATGATAATGGTTCATATTCAAATTTCTTTAATTATTATATATTGTTTTAAGTTTCTTTTTTATTACATAGTTCCGGCAATAAATTTATGATATATTTACGAAAGGAATTACACAAATACGACAAATAAGCAATATTTCTTGATAAACTTTACAAAACCAATATATTCAGTTCTTTTTCACTTTTCTCGTTACTGTTAATAATAATTATTCAAAAATAATAACTTGGAGTATTAATTTCTTAGATCAACAATATCTAACTATAATTAAAGGTGAAATTAAAGTATAAATTTAAAGTACAATTATAATCA